TTATTTTTTTTTTTTTATTTTTTGCCACAGATTTTTTGTTTATTTTAAAAAAATAACCCACTCGATGAGTTTGGGTAGATAAAAGTGAGAGAGGAAAAAAAAAAGTCGGTCGAAAACTTTTGATTTCATATTTGACATGATGGTTGCGTGTGGGGGAAATCTGTAGCAGTCGGCAAAAAATGCGTAAAAATGGGCATTTTCGTCTGAAAAACTGGACACGCCTATTGAAGGCCACTACTGCCCATTTAATTAACCATAAAAATATTCCATGGCAAAGTTGTAATTAGTAGAAAATATGAAGAACATTTTGGTCCACAAAAGGACACGTGTCAACTTTTGAGCACCACCAAAATGGACACGTGTCGCCATTTGAAGAGGTCTAACTCTCCCATATAAGATATAAGGGAGATATCCCCTATATTTATTAATTCAAAACATGTTCAGTCTAAGTAGCAAATTTCCACGTTTCGTATGCTGACGTGGCGAAAATCTATACTTTGTAAGGTTGTTTGTAAATTCATTTTACTATAAAATTAGGCTTGATATTAAACATAAATAACTTTTTCAAACTAAGTAAGTGTACATTTAATTTTGTTATTTTTTCTTCTGTTAGTACACACTAGTACAGTGCCCGTGCGATGCTCCCTTTTATAAAGGGATGTTGAGTTAAAAATCAAATTACTTACTAAATGAAACATCATGCCATTAATAATTCATAAATTAATAAATATAATGAAAATAAAATCTATATACTATTGAACACTTTCTTATATAAATTTTGGAATAATATTTGGCTCTATATATTATTGTTACACACTGACTTGCTTAATTTTTGTAATCTATATCTATATCTATATCTATATTTATATAATGGACGAATCCATTTTACAAAAAATGGACGAATTTTTCCCGCTCAAACTTTTTCAGCTAAAATTGGAAATATTTATTGTATACCAATAGCTTTAATATATTGAATTTTTATTGATTTATTGATCCACTTGACGAAATAATTATAGGGAATAATTATAGCAAAGATTTTGGTGGCCATCTTTACGTATGCATATGATAATTATAGCAAAGATTTTAATATAGGGATTACTAAATTTAATATGATAATTATTCTTAAATTATAGAAACATATACACGCATATAATAATTATCTTTGTTTGCAAAGATTTTATTCAACATATATGTTCCAATAATCTATATCTATATAATGGACAAATCCTTATTTTCATAATTTGCATAATTTTGGTTGGGAACAATTTTCTTCTAAAATTGGCATTAATTAATATTTATTTATTAGCAAATCTTATGCATGAAAAACATAATTATTTTTTATACACTCAATGAATGTTACTCATTAACTATAAATTGGCTAAATCAAAATTTTGACCGTAGATTTATTAGATATATTTTTAATAAGATCTTATATTAATTTAGTAGTAATTTATTTCCACACTTAAAAAAATTATTATGGAAATTGATTTGATTAAATATATTATCATTTATTGTTGTAGGTATTAATCTAATAAATTATATTCACTATTCAGAAGTACTTAAATTATTTAATAAAATAATCAAAAGAACTATGTTTAAGTCATAATAACTAATTAATAAATAATATAAAAATATTAATAAAAGTTTCTAAAATGTAGTCAATTTAACTATATAAAGGTACATGCTCATTGAATATATCATATGTAGTGATAAAACTATTAAAATTTAAATAATATACTAATAAAATAAAATTTGACAGTCGGGTGCAATTCAGAATTATAAATTTTAACTTAGAAGTATCTATGTGCAATATAAAATTATTCAATTTGTAAAAATATATATTTTTTCCTTATATACAATTTTATAAATAAAAAAATACGTTAATAAAAAACAATGTATAAAAATTTAAATTGTATAATAATTTATCTTATAGAACTTGATAATCATGAAAATATATAATATATCTAAATATTCGAATAGATATTATATAACTCAATTATATAGTTTGAAAAAAAAAAGAATTAAAGGAATAAATATAAATATAAAATAAAAACATAAAAATAAATATTTAACCATAAAAAATTTGTATGTTGCATAAGGATTAAAGTTACTTAAAGTTAAAATTTATTTAACAAAGTTTTCAGCATTTAATGAACTTAAAACATGTAGTGAACGATAAATAGTATGTGTTAAACGATGGTCAATTATCAAGCAATGTGCAAATTATGTATTGTTGGCAAAATTAAAAAAACTAAAGATAAACGACAATTTTATAAATATATAAAAGTAATTTGTATACAAATATCATATGATCTTAATATACATTTATAATATTTTATAAACTTATAAATAAGAAATTTTATATTTTAAATAGTAAAAAAAAGATATATATATATAATTATATATATATATAAATAGAAGCTAACAATAATAGTAAATAAATAAATAAATGTCATATTATTTAAGAATAGAATATTGTGGAGAAAAAAATTTCATATTGTCTTAAATAATTTTATCATACTTAAATAAAAAATAATTTTTGTATAGCGCCCCGTGCATCGCACGAGTATCAACACTAGTTATAATAAAGGGAAATACTACATACGGTCCCATTACGGAATCTTCTCGTCATAAGTTATAAAGTTTAGATACACATATAGTTAGTATAAGACAAATGATCTAATAATTAAAACCAGATGTTATGGTTCCGTAACAAAAACATAACATTAAACTAAATCATATTTTTATTTGATTTTATTCGTAGTAACAACCATTACATTTTTGTTTGATTATATTCTGATTAGTTATATATTTTATAGATATGTACTTGTAACAACCATTAAAATTTGGATAGTATGGATTGTAAGAATCATTAAAATATTGGTATAGGATTTAAATTAAAAACTAATTCAAATGTTTATTTGGAATCCATATAATATATCCACACAATTATATAGCGTATTAACAATTATTTTCTCATAGGAAATTATAAAAGCTTTAATGTAATACTATTTTAACAAAATAGTTGTGCCTATAACATGCAATTTGATTTTAAGACAATTATACAGTATATTTTGTTTGATTAGTTACTTGGTTTGTTCATTTATACTTTTAACAACTTATACATATTTTGTAAAATGTGGAATTAATCCGATTAGTTATTTATTCCTAGTAACAATCATTCCAATGAGTCGTTTGATTATAATGCTATTAGTTATATATTTTATAGATATGTACTTGTAATAACCATTAGAATTTCGGATATTATGGATTATAAGAATCAATAAAATATTGGTATATGATTTAAATTAGTAATTGAGTTCAAATCTATACATTGATTTGTTGAAAGGTTTGTTGATATTGTTTTGTAAAAGGTATTTTAAACGAAATATATTATTTTAAAATAAACCTAACAAAAAAGATCATGCTTATCATTTCTTTTTTCAATTGGATATCCGATAATGGTCATAATTATGGTTGAGGATTTATATTTGTCATAACCAAATATATTTTGTATGCTGTAAATTCTAACAATTAGTTTCTGTGTTCGTGATTTAAAAATATTTATTAAAAATAATTCTCGGTTGATTAAATTTATAATAAACATTTAACTAATTAACATTAGGATTAGGACGTTTATAATAAGAATATTCGGTCAAGTTAATTTTTTGTATGTATATTTTTTTTAGTGTGAAATATACAAATATTAGACTAATATATATTCATTGAATACTGGTATTAGATAGAAATTATAATATTTATCCACCTATTTTTTATTGAAATAAAATATCAGTTATATACAATATAAAAAAAAACCGTCAATGTTAGTTTGATATATGATGCAATCGTGTAACAGAATAAATAATGTTGTTTGTTTTGATAAATAAATTATTTGTCCACATTACAACTTAAATATTAATAATTGGAGCATACAAAGAACTAATGTTAAAAATAAACGAAACAAATATAAAATAAACCAACTCATTTATTTATTGAAATTAAATACCTCGTCAAAGGCAAAATTTTATTTTTGGTCCTATAACTTAGCCACAATCCAAAAAACTACCCTTATATTGACTACTTTCAATTTAGGTCCTATAACTTGTCAATTTAATCATATCTGGTCCCTTTTTATCTCTCCCCAGGATAAATTTTTGACGTGGCATTTTTTTATCCGATGTGGCGACTGTATGTTAAATAATGCGAAAATAAATTGTCAGGTGGATAAAGAAATTACCACATCACGTACGAGAGCTCTTTAAATGCCCATTTTTGCCCCAATTTGCCAAAGGGATGAACCTTAATCGCACTCACTGACCGAGAGAGATAGAAGAGAGAACCGATGTCGTCTGCTTCTTTCTTCTCGTCGCCTTCCAATCTTTTATGTCATTGTGGTAAGAGAGCTCAACTACGCACATCAAGGACTCCATCAAATCCTGGTAAGAAGTTTCACGGTTGCAAGAATTGGAAGGATGGGGGTTGTACGTTCTTCAAATGGGAGGATGATCCAGAGAGCTCGAACAATCAGATTCTGGCCAATGAAATAATTGAGGTCGGGAACAAGATGTTATTGCTTGAAGCGGAGAACAAAAAATTGAAGGAGAGTGTTGAACTCCAGTTGCATGTGCAGGACATCTATGATGAAGAATTGTCCAAAATTCGACAAAAAATCTGGAAGCTCCAAGTGTTTGTTGCTGTAACATGGTTGCTCTTCATTATTTTTTGTACTTGTTGTCTTTTTCTTTGAATTCTGACTATGTGTTGTTGTCAGATGAATGAAAACACTGTGTATGTTCATCTTTTGTACTTGTTGTCTTTCTCTTTGTCTCTTGTGAATTCTGACTTTGTAATGTTGTTTGATGAATGAACACTATGTGTGTGTTAAAATTTTGTACCTATGTTGTAAGGAATTTGTTCAATGTTCATGTTTATTAAGTTTGCAGTCAGGTTGATGTTCATGTTCAATTTTTATAATTGCACTGCACTAATCAAACTACAGTAAACGAAACTTTCAGTAAGCAGAACCTAACCATAAAAACAAACTAAAGTAAGCAGAACTTAACCATAAAGATCAAGCATTAATTAGAACCTGTTGTCATTTCCATAACCAAAAATCTTCACATACAATTTCATTACAAACACAATTCCAATTCCAAACCAAAAGAACTTGTCCATAACCTGAACCAACTAAACCATCTAAAATTCTAACCATTCAGTCACAATAACAAAAACACCCAAAATCTAGTTGGTTTCCAAAAACCAACCATCAACCAACAAAACACCTAAAATCAGTTTATATCCAAAGACAACCAACTAACAACCAAATTACTTATTTGGTTACATTCTTCCCTTCTTTTTAGGATCTACAGATGGAACAAGACTACTAATAGAGGTGTACTTTTGGCCACATTCTTTGAATATCTCTTTCAATCTTGAATCTCTCTCAGTTAGGCAGCTCTATTGACTTGGTATGAAATGACCACTAACAAATGGTGCTGGTCCTCTGATGACCACTTATTTAGTTGGATGTCCCATCTGCAATTGTTGGTAAGGAGTTGGGGCAGCTTTGAACCATTGTATTGGAGCAGGGACAAGTGAAGCAGGGAGAGGTGGAACAGATGGAGCAGAGACAGGTGGAGCAGGAGCAGGAGTAGAGGCATGTTGAGTAGCAGATTTATACCACTTTGTTGGAGCAGGAAAAGCAGGGGCTTGTGGAGCAACATGTACAGTTTGGGTTGTAATCTAACAAGTAAATTTTATTTGTGTTAGTTTGTAAAGATGTCTGTTAATAGTAGAAAGTCAAATAAAGCAGCAAGATGAGTACTTACATTATTTGTGCTTTTTTGAGTTGAAACTCCAACTGCTAGGAAAAGATCAACCCCCCTCTTTCTAGTCTGAAAACATGAACAGGTAAGGTCAGTTTGTTTTATTTTGTAAACATGACTATTAATTGTTCAAACTGACAGAACCTGAAAGATGTCTACTTACTTTACTTGTGCTTTCTTGAGTTGACACTCCAATTGCTAGGACAGGATCAACACCCCTCTTTCTAGGCTGAAAACATGAACAAACTTATGTGAATCAACTTTACATAATGAAAACATAAATCAACTTATATGTGAAGACATGTAAAGAACAATTTATTATACAATTACCTTTAACTTTTCTGGTCTTTGTTGACCTTGAGATTTGAAGAGGAGACATCCTTTCCTATTGTGACCCTCCCTCTGACACAAGCTGCACCTCACTGTCATCTGTTGCCTCTTCATTGTATTTCCAATGGTCACCCTAGGCTTACCCCTTAGCCTCTTTTTCCCACTAGAAAGAACCTCATCAGGTTCCATTCTCCTGGCCTTCCTGCTGCTCTTCCAAGATTTGGTGGCTCAGGTGGAGGATAAGAAGTTGCTGGCCATTCTTTCCTTCCATTAATAGGCATGATTGCAGGCTCATACACCCTTTTGTATGTCTCTGTCTTGTAGCAAGGGTTTACAAAGTCTTCAATGCTCCAGCCTTGCAGATTGATTGCACTCACTGCATGTACACAAGGAATGCCAGACAACTCCCATTTTTTGCACCCACAGCTATGTGTCCTTAGATCCACCTTAAATTGATCACCATTCACACATTCAACTTGAAAATTGTACTCATCTGATTTGAGGGGGATGCATTCAACCAAATTATCAATATGAGCATCTATGATTTCTTGTATCTTGGGACACAATGAAAAATTCCATTTTTTTGCACATCAATCCCTATTTTGCTGCAATCTCTTCATCAAATACCCCATTATCCACTCAAGCATTGACAGGATTGGTTGTTTCCTGGCCTCAAGGATATTGCTGTTGAATGTCTCACAAGCATTGTTGCATTGTTAAGAAGTATGTCACACATAGAAATAGCACTAAAGTGTGACCTACTCCACTCTTGTGGTGGTTTTGTAGACAACCAACTCCAAACATCTTCACACAATTCTCTAACTGCAGCCATTTTCCTGTGGAACTCATTAACTGTAGTGGTTGTTGCACATCTACAAACAGCATTCTTAAATGCTATTCCCCTAAAGCCAGCATCTCTGAAATTTCCCATCAAATGTCTAACACAGAACCTGTGAGAACAATTTGGAAAAATAGCTTGTGCAGCCTGTATCAATCCTTTTTGCTTATCTGAAATAATGGTCCGTTCATGCTGATTGATAATCTCCAAATCATTTTTCAGAAGAATAAAAAACCACTCCCAATTGTCAAAATTTTCAACACTAAAACAGCATAAGCCAATGGGTAAAGTGCATTGTTGGGGTCAATCCCAACAGTAGTAAGCAAAATACCCTTATTGGGACCTTTCAGGTGGCAACCATCCACACCAAACAGTTTCCTACAACCTGCCTTAAATCCAAACTTCAAAGCATTCAAGCAAATATATATTCTATTAAACACAGTCTTCCCACATTCAAAAATTATATCCAAAACAATTGTGCTACCAGGATTTGTTCTTCTAATCTCCTCACAATAATCCCACCACAATGCATATTGCTCTCTAGGTTCACCTTTCCTATCTGCAATGGCATGCATTTTGGTTCTGTATGCTTGTTGTTTAGAAATGTGAACCCTAAGCTCTCTTGCTGCTTGATTTCTAAATCCCTTAACAGCCCTCTGAGGATCATCTTAAAAAACGGCAGCATATTTCCCAGCCAACCAAGTGGATTTTAATTTTTTTACCTTTTCAGTCACTGCACAAGTGTGTCTAGGGTTATGCTTGCTAACCTGAAAGGTCTGCTCATTTTTCACCCTAACTGCACTAAACTTCCATGGACAATTACTATCACCACACTTTGCTCTAAGGTACTGCTTAACATTTTTGCTAATTACCACAGTTCTTTTTGCCTTAATTGCACTTGAATGTATAGCTGTCCTAAGCTCAGTTTTTGTGGCAAACATCATACCCATCTTGAAGTTTGGTTCATATAAGTCATTAGGATTAAACACATGATACTTATAACTCACTTTGTCCTCATCAGAGCTATCTTCACTATTTAACTCCTTTTGGTATACCACATCTTCATCCCCTTCACTTTCATTTTCATTTCCATTTTCATTATCATTATCATTTTCAGGTTGATTTTCACTCTGATCACCTAACCATTCAACATCATTATCAACATTCTCATCAAACAACTTATCATCTACTTTGTCATCCCCCATATCATACTCCCAATCATAAAGTTCATCACTAGAATCATCACCCTCATCTCCCTCACCCAAACTCACAACATCATCACCCTCATCCCCCTCACTGAAACTCACAGTATCACCCTCATCCCCCTCACCTAAGGTCACATCACCATCTCCCTTAACTCCCTCACCCAAGCTCACATCCCCATCTCCCTTAACTCCCTCACCCAAGCTCACATCCCCATCTCCATTAACTCCTTCACCCAAGCTCACATCACCATCTCCCTGAACTCCCTCACCCAAGCTCACATCACCATCTCCCTTAACTCCCTCACCTAAGCTCACAGTATCATCTCCCTTACCTCCCTCACTCATGTCACCATCTCCCTTAATTCCCTCACCCAAGCTCACATCACCAGCCTGAACCTCACCTTTATCACCCAGTTCCTGTTCTTTTTGCATTTCTCTCATCTTATCAACATACAAGTTTACTTCTCTAAACATTCTATTATCTTCCCAAATTTTTCCTAAATCACGTTGAGAGCTTACTAACACAAACATATGTCCCTTATTTTGATACAGTCTCAAAAGTTTCTTTATACCTTTTTCTTTCAGCAAGCTTTCTGAAATCATCGAGACATACCTCTGTATGGTCAACAAAATCAAAAGTAAATGAAGAACCTCCTAGATATGCTGCATAGTTGTGACCTTGGTCAAATTCACCTCCATAATGTAGAGAAACTGTGAAAAACTAACTTTGGGTTCCTACAAACTGAATAGAAATTTTGGTTGATCAGCAACATAAATGCAAACCTTAATTTCAGAAATACAATAAACCCTAATTTGAAATTGTAAACCTAATTTGAAAAATTATACTCACCAAATCTAGGAGGGGGAAGGTAATCGAGCTCCTTTCGCCGCAATTTCATCTCGCAGTTTGGGACTTTAACACCTAGTGCAACCTTCTCGATCAAACTGAGATTGTCTACATCAAACTCTGGTTGCGAATTCTCCTTGAGTGGAAGATCAGATTTCGATTATTGAGACTGAGAGGTCTCGATCGCCGATTTCGATTTCTTAGATTGCTGCATCACAGGTTGAGACTCAGAGGTCGCCGATTTCGATTTCCTTTTCCCAACTTCAGATTTATCCTTGATTATTTCTGCTTTCTCCTTCATTTTCGACTTATCCTTAAAGGATATCACTTTTTTCCTGACCATCTTCAAGCAATTTCGATTATGTGGAATTTGGGGAGTTGAGATTATAAGATTTTCTTGAGATATTGTGGTCGATTCTGATAAATTGAAGAGTATATTTTAGTGTTTTGAGAGAGAAATTGGGAAATGTCGATTGAGTTGCACTTTTGGGGGGGTAAATCTGATTCATTTCGCGCCTGTTCGTATCCTGCCACGTACAACCAATAATCACGCCACATCGGATAAAAAAATGCCACGTCAAAAATTTATCCTGGGGTGGGATAAAATGGGACCAAATATGATTAAATTCACAAGTTATAGGACCTAAATTGGAAGTGGCCAATATAAGGGTGATTTTTTGGACTGTGGCCAAGTTATAGGACCAAAAATAAAATTTTGCCCCTCGTCAACTATATGTTACCTATATGCTACTAAAGCAAATATGAAACGTCGAAAAAACATTGATCAAAATCAACACGGAAATGAAATCCTAAGAAATACCAATTGTTCATCAAATCCAACTAAATCTACGCGTAACTTATCAAATATTTCAACTAAAAATATTTATTTTAAACTCCACTGTCATCACCACCTTCTTTATTTTCCTCGATCAAGTTTTCGTCATCATCGATATTGGCTTTCTGTTTATTGCTTGTAACAGATCAACATAAAAATGACCAGAAGGATGTGTTTTGCAATTGAATTGTCCCAACAACATAATTGGATTGAAGAACCTTTTATGAGGTCTAGACCTCATCTTCCAATGTGGCTTCCTACAATAATAAATAAAACATACTTTTATTAATGTAACAATAAACAAAAACGGCATCAAAAGACAATTATTTAAAAGTTTAAATTACCCTCCATTTGCAACTTCTTCTTCTCTTTGTAAGAGAGTTAAGAAATCATACTTTTAAAAAAGACAAATATAAAAAGTTAATTAACAAATATGTTAATAAAAAGTATACAAATACATATTTAAAATAAAAATACTAATAAATTATTCGATTATAAATAAGATTTACATAATGCTCAACAACCCATTGACTATATTTGGAAAATAAGTTTTCATCCACTACAATTCTAAGCGCAAGATTCGTCCACCCTAAGACAATACATGTAGAAAATTTCGTTAAAAAAAATAATAAACGGTCTAACATAAAATAATACTTATAAACAATAGCTTGACAAATAGCATTTCGATAATTGCGGACATCTTCAACTTGCTGAATCATCCTAATTATGCGTAGCTTGACAAATGGCTTATGTTCTTTTGATATTCTTGATTAATTCATAATCTAGAGTCATCTTGAATGGTGATGGAAAAGCTATTAAATA